AAGCGGATTGTCGGATCCCGGGATTGTACGGATCGTACGTTCGCCATGGGATTGTACGAATTGTATGGATCGCCATGGGGTCGTACGGATCGCGGATACGAATGTTCCGCTGACTATACCTTTAGGTCTTCATGGGCTATTATTTGGAGGTACCCTTGAGTCCTCATATGCTATTATTTAGAGGTACCCTTAGGTCCTCATGGGTTACTATTTAGAGGTACCTTGGGTCCTCATATGCTATTATTTAGAGGTACCCTTAGACTCTCATGGACTATTATTTGGAGGTACCCTTAGGTCCTTATGAGCTATTGTTTGGAGGCACCCTTAGGTCCTCATTGGCTATTGTTTAGAGGTATCCTTGGATCCTCATGTCATATTATTTAGAAGTAATCTTGCGTCCTCATGTGCCATTGTACGACTGTACGCTGCGGTTCTTATGTCTTCTAAAATTCCACACAGAATATAAGTCCGCCGTATAATATGTAGAAGCCCATATGGAACAGAAGCCCAGTCACAAGGTTATCACTTTCCAAACACATTAGAAGCCCATCTGTCCCAAATGAGCACAGAACAAATACTTTCGGAAATTGATAAGTGAACTCATTGCTTCTCAGTATTTAAGTATAGACCACTTATATGTCTCTATTGGTTTGCTTTGTCTACATTTTCTATCAACAGAAAAATCACAAAAATTAATATCTTTCAAGTGTTGGAAAATACATACCAATTCGTATTAATACAGCATAGTTGTCTTAGAAGTATTGAAAAGGTTTTATGTATGGAACAACACCGTTCTCTTAGGTCTTTTCTTGTGAGGAAATTATGTACAGCTCAGAAACCAAATGATGCAAATTTATACTAATTTTTGCGGCGATATGCATAAACCTTTCACGAAAAAATAAAGTTTCTTCAGAAACTGAAGTATAATTGATACCAATTATGCGCGAGTTGATCACACTTGAATAATAATGCAAGAGTGGAATCCTACGATACGAACGATTATAATACTCGGGAGTCTGACCTATCTATCTTTCCAAAATGGGAGATCCTTGTTTTATAGTCAATGATGTTTGCATATTTCTCTCGCATTATGCAAAATATATCCCTTTCCGTGTGGGAACTGTGCGTAGATTTCTAGGATCCTTTGTACTTGTGTGCTAATTAATTCTTAATGGTAGCATGAAACGCAACCATTGAAAAAGGAACGCCTGCACAAACTTATAACTTTCACAACAGAATAAAACCCAAGGGGATAAGTGCTGCACCCAGGACCTGCTCAGCATCTCCGCACCTGCTTAGCATATCAGCACCTGTTCGGCACCTTTAGCGTATTTTACTATGAGTACCTTCGGCACCAATAGCACCTTCAAGCACTCCCCCACTATCCTAAGTACTTTTTTCAGTACCTTACGCTAAAATTTGAAGGGCAGAACCTGGGCAGTAAATTTTACCGTAAGGTACCGGAAAAGCATTTAGGATAGTGGGGAAGTGCTTGAAGGTGCTCATAGTAAAATATGCTAAAGGTGCTGGCTGGGTGCTGGAGTGCTAAGCAGGTGCCGAGGTGCTGCGCAGGTGCTAAGGTGCTGCGTGCAGCACTTTCCCACTTGATAAAATCATATTGAGTTTTTATTGTGAAGCGACGAGTGGCGACAGGCTAACAGAACATCGGGACCCAAGGGCACTTCAAAATAATGCCACATGATGGACCAAGGGTGTCTCTAAATAGTAACTCATGAGGACCTAAGGGTACCTCTAAATAGTGGCCCATGAGGACCCCAAGATGTATCCCAGATATAGAGACTTGAGGACACCAATACTGATACCAACCAATACCAATGCCAATTGCTATTGACTGGTATTGGTATTGCTATATCCATACCTCTATACAATAGGAGATGAGAATCTAAGGGTACTCTCTGAATATAGGACTTGAGGACCTAAAATTACCCCCAGAAAATAGGATATGAGGACCCAAGGGTACCCCAGAACATAGAATATAAGGACCCAAAGGTACCCCTATAATATAGGACTTCAGGACCTAAGCGTACCTTCATAATATCGGACTTGAGGATCTATGGGTACCTTCTGAATATAGGACTTGAGAACCTGAAGGTTTCCCCAGAGTATAGAGTGTAAGGACTCGAGGGTACCCCAGAATAGAGGACTTGAGGACCTGAACGTACCCGCAGAACATAGGATATAAGGAACCAAGGGTACCCTTAGAATATAGGATATAAGAACCTATGGGTACCCCCACAATATAGGACTTGAGGACCCGAGACCTCCCCTAGGATAGGCAGATGAGGACCCGAGTACCCCTCCTAAGATAGATAGGAGAACCCAGTCGGACTGGTGCACCCTACTTCTTAGTTCTACATATATTATCTGGATTGTAATCGTATCGTCCGTATCGTATGTATCGTCACTGTATTGTACGTATCGTATGTATAATACGTATCGCCACTGTATCGCCGATACACAGAATCCGCTTTTTCTCCCTTGAAAGAAACGCATCCATACTCAATGAACTATGCGGATTAAAATGAAAAATCGATGGTGTCTTCTATTAACTCGTCTTCACATTCATCCACCAAAAAACATAAATTTTGAACATTGTTCGATATCGCACTGTCGAGCTTTGTCTAAACTGTAGCATCGAATCGACTGGATGACAATATGCGAGTATTTGGCGTTATCATCTTCTGATGAAAATGAAAAGACGCTTGAATAAATCATGAGAGTCATATACCCAGTATTACAATTTCTGGATAAAAAATGATGATTATGCTGTGTAATGAAGAACAGATAAAATTTATATTGATAAGGAACACTGCAACAACATCATATGCAAAGCAAAAAAATTTGTTTGTTTAAATACAATGCGATATTCCTTTGATGAAAGAAAATGTGAAAGATAACACTTTCGTTCTTTTGTTTGTGACAAGATTACGCAAAAATGCATGCACGAAAAAATGTTATTTTACTTTCGTTTTTCCTGCTCTTATGTCTACCAGACTCATCAAATTCGGTTGATCCTTGTATTCACGATGTGAATCTAAAAGGTGTAATAGATTTAACCAGTGTTGGTCATATGGATGGAACGCCTGCATGGAAAAATGCAGTACCTGACATGAGTGATAAACACGGTATTTTGTGCTTACTTTCTACTTTCACAAATAGAAAATGTAATCTTTTCTAGTGTACTCATACAATCCATGCCATCCATTCACTCAAAGCTCATGTAAAAGCGTGGCTGCTTGTCAAAGTACGAAATATTAGCACGTCAGTTTCAAATATATTTTCTTGTAACTTCATTTAGCATTTGCAACTGACGAAAAACTAGCCTATTCATTAGGCAGTCAAAATAGTGTGCAATGGAAATTTACAGCAGCTCAAGAATATCCTACACTGATCTACAAAACGAGCTCAAGAACATTGTATGTTGACTTACGATGTTTGAGCTCGGGAGAACCTGACAAGTTAGAAGTGCATGGACAGGATCCTAAAACAGGTCTCTATACCATGACATTATCATCCAAATGTGTATGCTGGAACGGCTGTAAAGGTTAGAAATAGATTCTATACTATAATCTACTATAAAATATTCTATATATTATGACAGATAAACCTGGTCCCGATCCAAACCCGAAAAGTGGATTAAGTGGCGGAGTAATATTTATCATCGCACTCTTGACTCTTATTACTATCTATTTGGTCGTGTTCATATCTTTCAACAAGTTCAAACGACAAGCAACCGGCATCGACATTCTTCCACATCGTACCTTCTGGGTCTCGTTACCTGGTTA